AGTAGGGATTGGGGGCGAACAGGAACAGTGAAGCCTGATCGAGCCAACAAAAGTATAGCTCCTGAAACTGGACTATAAAGACAGAAAATCACATTGACTTAAATTGACCTCTCCCTCCCAGTGCACTCATTTTGTGGGAGAAAGAGCTTATAGCTTGTGTTGGTGGTCACACCCAGAATGTGGCCTGGCCAGTTGGCAGGCCTTTCTGCCACTGCACACAAACATCACACAGAATGCCAGCATGCCAGGTGTGGAGCAAGAGATGTTTTAGAGATAAAGAAGAAAAGGGAAATTTTCTTAAAAGCTTATTATTGGGAAATCACAATGCTAAATTCTAATGTCTTGGTGGATAGGTTACATGGGTCAGTGCATGCATTGCCTCGTGAATTTGTTTTTCTGGCCAAGTGAGTCTGCCAGGTGGGAAAGCTAATTCACACGAGCTGTCATGTTTCAGTGGAGCTCTGAGGGCAGAGATGGTATGGGGTAGGGTTTGAGGGCACAGGGCACGGAGCCACACTTCCTGGATTCAAAGCCCACTCTCCTGCTTAGCAGCCGTGTGGCTTAGGGTGAGTAGCTCAACCTCTCTGTGGTAACAATTCTTCCTCTTTGAAGTAGAGAAAATAAAAGTGTTTACCTCATAGAATTACTTTGAGGATTAAACACTTAGAACATGTATGACACTTGTTTTTAAGGTACATCACTTAGGAAGTCCCACGTTTATTATTATATTATTATTATTATTTATCATAATACTTTTGAAAGAAGCATGATGGAGTCAGAAGATCTGGGACTTTGGAATGAGTTAGAGCTGAGTTAAATTCCTGCTCTCCAAGCCCTTGGTGCAAGAACTGTAAAAAGAGGGCAAAAAATACCTCCCCTGCAGGGTTGGAGTGAGAAATTAAATAGAATATGTTTATGTGCCCGGTTCAGTGCCTGGCATATAGAAACATTCAAGAAATCTGAGTTCCTGGCCCCTCTTCTCCATCTCAGTGTGCTTCATCAGTGGGCCATGGCACTGTGCTAAGAGGTAGGGACACAAATATGAGTGAGATGTAGCCCTGTCCTCAAAGGCTTCCATCCAGAAGAAAGGCCTGGACACAAGCAATGACAAGGTGCTATGACAGGGCCATGATGCTGGTGGCAATGCAATTACCCAGGAGGCAATGCTTAAGCTGGGACTTGAAGAAAGAGTAGAACTTCACCAAGCTGGTCAAAGTATTGGTTGGAGAGGGGCTGGGGGTATTTCAGGAAGCACAGAGAACGCACTGCATACATGTGGCATAAAAAGAGACATTGATCATTGCTTGGGGTCACTAGCTGTCCCTGCGTCTACCTCTGGATTTCTGTGCCAAGACCCTTGGATCCTATGCAGGATACCCCTCCTCCTCTCTCTGGGGAAGCCACCCGTCTGGAGAATCAACAGGACAACCTATGGCAGAGAAGACACCCGGGCAACCGAAAGCAGCATGTGTACATTTCAAGGGGGGAACCACGAGGAAAGAAAAGGCCACCACAGCTGAACAAATAAGAAACATAAAATGTCCTAAAGGTTTCTACAAGACAGGGCTTCGTGCCGCCCAGAGTTATGATGCTGGGAGACAGGACCTGCTTTGCCCTGCTGCTTCCTCAGTAACTGTGCTGAGCTCACAAGGCTGCCCCACCCTGGCTGGGATATGTGCCCCTGTGGCACCCCAGGACCAGGCTGGGAGCACTGGTGTGTGAGCCTTTGTTGGATGCCCCATGAAACTGGCAGATTCAGAACCTTTCCCCCAAAGCCAGCAACAGACATCTTCAAGGAACCGAATCCAAAGCAGAATTTCAGCAAAGCCCAACTACAATAGCTTCTTCCCCAGGTGAATGAGAAGGGCCTCCGGGTGTGTGTGTGTGTGTGTGTGTGTTTGTGTATGTTTGGTGTGCATATGTGTTGTGTTTATGTGCATTTGTGTGTGCATGTGTGTGTGGGGGTGAGTGGGGATGTGTGGTGCTCAGATGCCCTCTTCTCCAGAGACCAGATGCGGGGAGTTGCCATGCTGACATGATGCCCTCCAGGTCAGTGGGGGGAAAGCCCACCCCAGCACCACTCAGCCACTCAATGCTCACTCAAAAGATCTGCCCAGAGCACCCCTAACGAATCATCACAAAGTGGGTGAAATTCCTCTCCCGGCCCAAATCCAAATCCTCCAGGCCCCAAATCCCCTAACTTCACTGGGGTGCCCTCCCACTCTCAGGATCCCTTCACACTGTCTCTCCCACCCCCCATCAAAATCTACTCTCTGGAAAACGTCTAGAAAACTCCTCTGTCCCATGGAGTAGTAGGGCTGGAAGTGTTCCCTGTCCCAGTGAGGCCTCAGCGAGTCAATTATTTGGGAAATATGGGTAGAGACCTACTGTGCATCAGGCACTGCCAGGCAGCCATGAGAACAAGACTCCAGCCCGCCTCAAGGCGCCTGGCCCGGAGAGTGCACACTGTAAGGCCCCGTGGTGAGTAGAAAGAGCCGGGCTTGGGGGATCTGGGTGTGGAATCCCAATCCACCACTTACAGGCCTTATGACCTTGGGCAAGTACTTGGCCACCCATTTCTCACCGGCAAAATGGAGCTAGCAGTACACACCATGCAGCGTTCATCCTCCCAAACACACCAAGGCAGAATATCAAAAAGACAAAATGAAGTTGTCCCACAGTGCCCAGGGGTTAGTGGAAGACCTGGGCCCTCCAGGAGGGAAGGGTGACATCATCCGCCAACTGGCTGTAGGATCCCAGCCGTGAGGATGGCAGAGACAGAGTCTCCTGTCCATAGAAGTCACAATCCTCCCTCCTGCCCTCCTGGGAGAGCTGGGCTTGGCTGACTGTGCCAGAGCTGAGCAGCAGACCCTTCCAGAGAAGTGGCTGGGGCACACCCGGGAAGCTCCTAAGAGGCAGGGGGCAGGGCTGACCCACTGAACCCCAGCCTGCCAGAGGCCAGGTCACTGCTCCCAGCACCTCAACACACAGACTCTTCTACACACCACACACACACATGAGAAACACACCAATATCACACCACATCCAGAAACCCTGCTCTCTATCCACACATCAACACATCCGTTCATACCCACCACTCTCTAAGTGCACATGTACGCACACACATAGAACATAGACACCATCACAGACACTCTCTCCTACACACACCACACACACAGTCACGGTACATCATCTACAAATAATTTCACATTCACGAGACACACAGAAATCCCCGTTCACACACACACGCACATCCAACCCACACTCGGTGCATGACAACTCACTCACACTGGTTCAAATGCCCACACTACACAGTGGCTCACTCTCTCTACAGCCCATCTCACACAGTCAGAAGTGCCCTCACACTTATCTACACATGGCGCCACGGAAACACAATGTTTCTACTCCACATCCCTCCCACAAGCCCGCACACCGGGGCACATCTGTGCAGCGCATCCCCACCCGGCTGACCCCAGCAAGGGGCTTCCCGCTCGGTGTGCAGCGGCCACAGTGGCCGGGAATTAAAATGCAGCGAGGAGGAGCCGGGCGCGTCAGCACCGCGTCTCCGGGAGCGCACAGCGCTCGCCGCCGCCGCCGCCCCGCCCGCCCGGAGCCGTGGGGCCAGCGAGCCGAGAAGCAGGTGCTCGAAGCCCAGCCGCGCCAGCGTCGCGCGGCCGCTGCCCAAGTTCGCCCGGGGCCCGAGGAGGGCCGGGCAGCCGGGAGAGGAGCGCAACCGGCGCCGCCGCCAGTGCGGCTTGGAGTCGCGAGAGGAGAAGGGCGCGCGGAGTCAACGAGTCCGGGTCACCCCTGAGAGGTGTAGCCGGGGCTCCGCAGTCCCCGGCTCCTGGCGCCGCCGGGGCAGGGAGAAGAGGCAGGGGACAGCGAGGCCGGGCTTTTCTGGAGACTCGAGGCACCCCGGAGAGCCGGTGGGAGAAGCTACACTTCCCTCTGGCCAGCAGCCTTGAAGGGGCCCAGCAGCACGCAGCATCCGGCAGGACACCCTAAGAAGCCCCAACCCCAGGCGAGAGCGGGCACATCGCAACGCAGAGCTCAGGCGCAGGACTTGGGGGAGCCTCAGGAGGTCTCGGCCCAGCGCAGCCCAAGGAGCAGTGAGAAGGGTCCTGGAGGGAAGGGAAAGAGGGCTGCAGCCAGCAGGGCGACCACTCACCCCGGTACACACCCACCCCACCCGCCAAGCCAGGAGCCGCGGTGCGCCTCTGGGGGCGCTCGTTCCCTGGCGCCTTCTCTCCCGTGTCCCGTAGTCCGCTGGGCTACGGGCCGGGCTGGTGGGGTCCTTGGGGATGTCCAAATCAGGCATAGTGGCCGAGTGGCTGCTCTCCCAGGACCAGCGTAAAAGCTGGGGTTAGGCGGAGCAGGGGGACTCAGCTCAGGGTCCCCCGAGGTACAGGACGAGGAGAGGCGGGCGCAGCGCCCAGGGACTGGAGAGGCGGCGCCCAGTGGGGCCCCTCCGAAGGTAGTGGCCGGCGTCGGGCAGCCTCCGGGAAGACTAGGGGCCAGCAGAGCCTGGGAGGCGCTCGGGAGAGGCCAGTGCCAGGGGCGGCGGGCCGAGGCGGCGCTCAGTCCCGGGCGGGCGCCCGCGGAGGC